GGATAGGGGGGAAGGGGGGGGAGGAAAATGGGGGGGTGGGAATCGTTATCACCATACTGTAGCACAATAATTCATTCATCCAGTGCCAGATCTGCGACAGACATCGGCGATCACGGTTCTCCATTCATTCCTTTGCTCAGATGCTCATAAAAAAGCTATATGCTTCCCTGATTTTTCCCCGTTACGCATTAGTTTAAGTTCCCTAAGTAGGTTACTCTGGGCCTACCCCTGCCTCGTTTGCCTTCAATTTTGCCAGTGAGAGCTAGGTAATAATAATATTAATAATTATAATAATAGCACAATATCAGCAGCACAAAATGAGTGTCCACCTAGAATTCTTTTCCACTGAAAACAGCTCATACATTTTACTTCTAAAGCCAGAGTTTAAAAAAGAAAATATTTTTCGAACCTCACCTAATAATAATAATAATTGCATTTATATAGCGCATATCCATGCTCAAGAGCATGCTCTATGTGCTTTACAACTATTATTACCCCAGCAGACCCTCTGAGAACACTCAGAAACATTCTCAGCTTCTGAGGAAGCATACAGTGCAAGCTGCGGATTTCACTATCTCAAACACTATCAAACTGACAAGATCTTTCGCTGTCTATAGCCGGGTACCCATTCCCACCTGGGTGAAGTGAGGAAAATTTGTGCAAAGTGCCTTTCCCAAGGACACAACGCCGGGCCCCCGACGGGATTCGAACCCATGACCTTACGGTTGCGAGTCTGAGAGCCTAACCACTAGGCCACCTACACACCAGTACCCATATCATTTTTTAAAATTAATGCGTTTTTACGCCCTCGTCTACACAATTCCCATCATTTGGGAGGCGAGATTCTGACCCAGCACGTCAGGGCTCATCTGAGCTAAGAGGGATACAACTGACACTCCATGAAAATGTTCGTTCCTTTGATTTAGTTTATGTAAGGTTTTACAGCGCTCGCAACTGCATAAGGTCATATGAGCGCCAAGGGGGGGATGTCAGCAGAGAAGTCCAAACGGGGAATCAGGCTTACTCTGCTCACCTCTCTAGCCTCAACAGCACAAAATCTCTTTCGACTATCAAGGCACCCCGGAAATAAAAGGTCACAAGAGAGTGACAAACATACAAAAGACATAGAGGAAAAATGACGATAGTAAGGATGAGGAAAGAAAAAGCAGCAGTTCCCCTCTATGTTGTTCCGGCACAGTTATGAACATGACATTTGGGAATGGCCTAAAGACAACTTCCGTCAGTAGCACCGCCCCTGGGGTTTTACATCATGTATCTGGGCATAATAATAATAATAATAATAATAATAGTATTAATAATAATAATAATAGTAATAATAATATCAATATCAACAACAATAACGATAATCTAAAAAAGTAATTTGTGCAATGAAGGTGCATGAAAGACACACAAGCAAAGAGCCAGAACATTTGTGAAGTGCGCTGACAAAATGAATTACTTCTCAGATTTTAGACCGATGGAAATAGAAACATCAAATTTATAGGTTGAAGTTTGACAATTTATCTGTATGAAATGATAAAAGACATGTTAAACTTGAAGAGAATGGCATTGGTTTGGAGTCTACAAACATGACCCTTGTGTTGATTTTTGGCTATCTCCATTCATGGATTGCGAGAAGTAATCCATTTTGATAGCTCGCCTCACATTTGATCCTGAGAAGAGAACCGCAGTACAAAACACTCACAAAGACAACACGCTTACTGTCAGAGTGAGCACACCACTTTTAGAAACAAAGCAACAAAGGTGACGCTACAGAGCTGAGCAAGACTTGCTTCAGTGTAAAATAAGAAAATGGAGCTTTAAAAATAGGTGAAAAAAAAATCAAAGAAATTGTACATGAAGCAATAAATAAAAAAGGCGAGGACTTCCGTAACGAGCAACCACTATGAGACAGAGTAGAATAGAGTGTTAGGGTTAGGGGTAGATCTAGGGATAGGGGTACATCTAGGGATAGGGAGAGGGTAGGGGTAGGGGCAGGGGTAGGGGTAGGGGTACATCTAGGGATAGGGGAAGGGGTAGGGGTAG